GGGGGGAGGGGGGGAGGGGGGAGAATAGGGGAACCTGTGGCTGATATGTAGAACTGAATGGTATTGTAAAATAAAATAAAATTTAAAAAAATAAATTAATTAATTAAAAAAAATGGCATCCCATAAAATGGAAGTGTTGGTTGCTGTATGTGAGGACTCCAATGGGAGACTACAGGCATTTTGAAGTTTCTGGAAATATAATATTCAGAAGTCTCAGGACCTTTCCTTGCACATTAAAAAAAATGGTAAGATTCCAAAAGCTTTGTTTAGCTTCAAGGTAGGGTCTCACTATGTAGCCAGGCTGCGCTAGAATTCAAAATCCTCCTGTATTTATTTATTTATTTATTTATTTATTTATTTATTTATTTATTTATTTATTTACTTTTGTTTTTTCTAGACAGGGTTTCTCTGTGTAGCTTTGGTGATCTCACTCAGTAGACCAGGCTGGCCTCGATCTCACAGAGATCCGCCACCCCCACCCCCGGCAAATCCTGTCTTTATCTCCTGAGTTCTGGCTTAACTGGTGTGTGACACCACACTCCACTTTCCCCCAAAGAACTGCTGTGTGCATTCTAGGTACTGATAGTTATCTTGTTGGAGATTAACCAGCAATTTTTTTTTCTTTCTCTTTTGAGACAGGGCCTCAAGAATTCCACACTGGCCTGGAACTCTCTGTGACCCTACACTGCTTAGCCCTCTGCCTCCAGCTCTAGAGTACTGCTACTACAGAAGTATGACACCATACACCCTTTATGTGCTGCTGGGGTTTGATCCCAGGGCTTCAAGCATATTAGGCAGGCACTCTTAACCAAATGAGCTACATCCACAGGCCCCAACACTGACAAATCTTGAAGAGTAGTTATTCCTTCATTAAAATAGTCATGGCACATAGCCTTTTATATGAGCATATTACTTTTTACCAATTTCTTCCACGTCTGATTGTTTTTCCAATGTTCCCCTATCATATGATGTGTATTGTCTGGAAGACTCCAGTGTAGACTTGTGGGAGAATGGGAATTTAAAATGTAGACAGTGCGTCAGTGTTATAGACACAGATTGGACCTTCCACCTTAAAGGGTGTGTGGAAGGTCAGACCACACTTGGAGCACAACTGTTTTATGAATAGTTTCTCAGCGTTTTGGCACATACCCACACTCTGCAAGATTTTAAAATCTGATACCAGCATGGGCTACCCAGTGAGACCCTGCCTAAAACCAAAACACACGAAAAGCCCCAAACACAAAGAGTTAACAGGTGACTTGCAGCCAACAGAAAAAGAGCTGCAAGGAATCACAAGCTTAAGGGTTTTTATACAGGATTTACTTCTTCGGCAAGATGAAAAATTGATGCACTGGTTGTTTTCATTATAAAGCAGTTTAAGAATGCACACAATTCGTCCTTTTTCTACGACCAAAGGAACTAACGCAGAAATGAAGGACTGCTCATCAGGTAAACACGATGCGCAACACCCTACAAGGCGTGGAGACCCCTGGACTGAAAAAAGCAGAACCTGCAGAAGATGCCGCTGCTGCGGTCGGTGTTCGCAAAGCAAGAGCTGTGGTTCTTAGCAGGGGTGGGAAAAATGATTTCAGAGCAGAGGGGTGGGGGGTGGGAGAGTTGCAGGCATTATAGGCCTGGACGCGGATGGGAATCCGAGCCGGGCGGGATACAGCAAGCCGGCGACAAGGCTGCTGGCTGTCCCTCCCGCAGCGTTGCAAGGAGAAACCGGGTGGCAGCAGTGACTTTGGGATTTCCATCCCACCGCGGAGGGGAAAGGAGACGGCGGGGAGTGCGCAACGAGCAGAGAGAGAGAGAGGAGAGAGAGAGAGGAGACCGAGTCTGGCGGGAAGCCTAGGGCTCTGGACTGGGGAGGGAGGCGGGAAGAAGGACGGCTCTGTTCCTAGGCAACACGGCCCGGGGCCCCGCCTCCCGCTCCCGTTGCCAGGCGACGCCGAGGCGGGGTGGGGGGGGGCTCGGGGGAGGAGTGGGGGGGGGGAGCGGCCCTACGTGCTGACGCTAATTGTATATGAGCGCGAGCGGCGGGCTCTCGGGTCTTTTTTAGCGCCATCTGCTCGCGGCGCCGCCTCCTGCTCCTCCCGCTCCTCCCGCTCCTCCCGCCGCCGCTGCCGCCGCCACCGCCGCCGCCCTGAGTCACTGCCTGCGCAGCTCCGGCCGCCCGGCTCCGCGTTCGAGCCTCCTGGAACGGTAACGGCTGGGAAGGGGCCGGGGAGCTCGGGGAGCTCGGGGAGGGGACCTGCGAGGGGTGTGGGTGATGCCGGGGGTGGGATCCGTGCGGCCGGAGGGACTCCGGGCCGAGGGAGGGCGAGCGCCGGCGGCGGCTGCGGGGCGCGCGGGACAGCGAGGCCCCCGGGAGCGTGGAGGTGGAGGAGGAGGAGGTGGAGGCCACGCCGCGGAGCGCATGGCTCGCCCGGGCCGCCCGCTGCCTCGGTGGTCCTCTCTCTCCCCCTGCCCCCCCACCTCCAACACCACCATCACCACCACCACCACCACCACCATGGGGGGGAGCACCGCGAGCAGGCCGCGGGGGTGAGGGAGGGGGAATGGAAGGAACGGTGGCCGCGAGTTCCGCCCGCCCGCCCGCCGGGAGGGGGGG